GTACCAGTTTCTGTAAGAGCCCCGGAGTCTTGACCTGGGCTGCCCTCGGAAATTCTCTGCCTTTGCCAGACATCACCTTCTGGTGTATGACAAAGAGCCCAGCCCTATTATGTCTACACAAAATCACCTCTGTGATGTAATCAACAGCCCACGTCTTCCAGACAAATCAAGCTGAGCCTGAACTTTTGAAACCACATCTTCGCTAAGATTGTTCCTGTGTGCATTTCTGCTGTCCCTGTATTCTAAATAAAATGTTCTGGAATTACTAGTATAAACAGTCATGTAATCAGAAATTTCCATTAATTGGGAACCTCTCATCACAGAATTTGATTACTGCCATTCAGTCTAGACAAGAATACGTTCTCTGGAACCACAGAATGCACTCTAAGCATGCATTCCACAGTGTCCTCTTCTTAGAAATTCTGCTATCACATTTTCCCAAGTTTTATATGAGGGTTAGCTTGCAGTTAGGAAAAAAGATTCAATGAACGTCAGCAGCAAAAAAATGTTTTTTGTAGTAATAGTTTGTGTCTCAGGCACTTTTTACATTTCAAGTATTATAACCTTTATAGAAAGAAAATCAAAGGAACCTCCAGATAGTCCTTTAAGCTTTATTGCTGTTTTAGAATATTAAAAAAAATAAGGTAAAATAAAAAAGGTTTCATCAAATATCACATTGGTACGTGATGTTAAATAAAAATGGAATGAACAGCTTTAACTAATTAAACTAGCAATAGTGAGTTGGGAAACAATCTTTACCTGAAGGACCTCCTTTCCCATTCCCAGTTTGCCACAGTTGCTTTACTTTAATCTGTCTTAACTGTGCCCCAAACAACACAGTATTATGCAAGTGGTCAAACAGTATTCCAATGCAAATCCTATCACCGTGTATCCCTGAGATTTCAGGTAGTCTTTATGACAGAGAAAGATGCTAAGAACAATGGTTAGCTTTAAGGTCTCTACTGAGGACCATGATATAAGGCATGGATATAAGTGTTCATAAATTAGTATATGTAGCCATAATGCTTTATTTATCACATATCATTATTGGCCATTAATGAATCATAGCATACTATCTATGATCATTATTTGACATAATCTTAGAGAATAGGATTATATAAATGTTCATTAAACAGATAACAAAAATTAATTTATAAATCCATCGAATGGGTAGAAAAACGGACAAAGTTCAATCCCAGCACTCACAATGGGCATCTTACAACCACCTGTCTCTGTTCTGTCTCCTCAAACACCTGCACGAATGTGCACGTATCAACGCAGACAGATGCGCCTATATATAGTTTAAAAATAAATTAAATCTTTGGAAAAAAAGAACACAAAAGACTTAAGTTAATAATTACAAAATGTAGTTAGAATTAATTTCTTTAAAAACTAGTATTTATTGATTGATTGATTCTTTCTTTAACCATGGAATCCAATTGGTGCTGCCCATATTGGAATGGGGGTAGGACTCCAGGGGGAGATGGGAGTTGGGAGTGAAGGGTGGATATAATCAAGATACATGTACAAAATTTTCAATAAATGAACAAACTTTTCAAGATTAGTAATATATTTAAAGAAATAATTTAAAGTCTTATTGAAATGCATCAAAGTCCTAAACGAATTAATTATTTCTTCATAGGCCTCTACATTGGAAGCAAGTAAAAGTAAATAACATGAAAATGTGTGTTTGTGTGTGTGTATGTGTGTGTATTTGATACATAAAAGCAAAGTTCAAGATTAGCCAAGCTAAATCTGAAGAAGATTACAACCCTAAATGTTTTGGGTATACATTCTGAAAAATATATCTGAACCTAGAAATCTGTGAATAGGATATAATTAAGCTTATAGATCTTAAAAGGGGAAGATGTGAAGACAGATTGCTTTACAAAGCGCTGAATCCCATATTTAAAAGTCTCATCTGAATGAAAAATTACAGATACAAAGAGGAAGACCATGTGAAGATGGAAGCAGAGACTAGAGAGCCCACTGTTTGTAGCAACAGGGTAAGGGATGCTTGGGGTAGCCAGAAGCTAAAATGGACTGGGAGGCATCCCTCACTATAGCCTCCACTGGCACAGCTACCACCTGGTTCTCTTAGATTGTTGGCTTTTAAAACTGTTAAAGAAAAAAAAAATTACATTGCTTTAAACCACCTAATTTTGTGGTGATTTTCTATGGCAGTCTTAACAAACTAATGTAACAAGGACCAACACTCACTGTTGACTTATTATAATGCTACAGCAGATGCTATTGGCAGAGTGAAAAGTAGTTGAGCAATGAAAGAGGTCACACATCTCAGTTACTATGTTGAAACTGTGGTGGAGCTGGCCTGACAGATAAGCATGGGAATAAGGCTTGTACCATCGTGGAGCTAAAAACACTGCACTTTATATTAGGGAGAAAACGAATTTAATTCCTTAATTCAAAACACACATGTGAGTAAGTTCCATAAAGCATAAATTTTAAACAAAAAATGCAAAGGCAGGGTTTTAAAAAGTCAATTACATAGAATCAGAAATGATTTCTCATGCAAACACAAAAGATACTGATGAGAAAATAATAATATCAAGAACATTTTAAAGTTTAGCTCATCTGTCCATCTAAATATAGGATAACAATAATTTTTTTTTTATTTTTCTTTTTAGTTACATTTTGTTAACTCTGTGTCCCAGCTGTATCCCGCTCCCTCATTCCCTCCCCAATCCCACACTCCCTCCCTGGTCTCCTCCCTGCCCCTTTCCAAGTCCCCTGATAGGGGAGGACCTCCTCCCCTTTCATCTGACCCTGTTTTATCAGGTATCTTCAGGGCTGGCTGCAAAGTCCTCCTCTGTGGCCTAACAAACTGCTCCTCCCCTGGGGGGGTGTCAAACAGCCTGCCCTTGAGATCCTGTTAGAAATAGTCCATGTTCCCCTTACTTTGGAAAACTACTTGGTTACTGAGCTACCACAGGCCACATCCGAGCAGAAGTTCTAGGTTATATCCATAGATGGTCCTTGGTTGAGTGTCAGTCTCAGAAAAGACCCTGTGCCCAGATATATTTGGTCCTTGTAGAGCTCCTATCCTTTCCATATCATACTAACTTCCCTTCTTTCATATCATTCCCTGCACTCTGTCGAGGGTTTGGTTATGAGTCTTAGTGTCTGCTTTGAAACATTGCTAGGTAGAGTCTTTCAGATGCCTTTTGTGGTAGACTCCTGTCATAAGTTCAATGCACATCCCATTTGTCTTTCTAAATGAGGATTAATCACCTTCGCCTGTGTCCACTTTCTTGATTATCTTCTTTAGGTGTGTAGATTTCATTATGTTTATCATGTCTTGTAGGTCTATATAAGCGAGTATATACCAAGTTTGTCTTTCTCCTTCTGGGATACTTCACTCAGAATGATCTTTTCTAGATCCCACCACTTGCCTGCAAATTTCATGATTTCCTCCTTTTTGATTGCTGAGTAGTATTCCATTGTGTAAAAATACCACAATTTCTGTATCCATTCCTCCGTTGATGGACATCTGGGTTGTTTCCAAGTTCTGGCTATTACAAATAAAGCTGCTACGAACATGGTTGAATAAATGTCCTTGTTGTGTACTTGAGCAAATTTTGGGTATATACCTAGGAGTGGTATAGCTGGGTCTTGAGGTAGCACTACTCCTAGTTGTCTGAGAAAGCGCCAGATTGACTTCCAGAGTGGTTGAACCAGTTTACATTCCCACCAGCAATGGAGGAGGGTTCCCTTTTCTCCACAACCTCTCCAGCATGTGCTATCACTTGAGTTTTTCATCTTGGCCATTCTGATGGGTGTAAGGTGAAATCTCAGGGTCGTTTTGATTTGCATTTCCCTAATGGCTAATGAGGTTGAGCATTTCTTTAAGTGTTTCTCTGCCATTTGATGTTCCTCTTTCGAGAATTCTCTGTTTAGCTCTGTTCCCCATTTTTTAAGTGGATTACTTGGTTTGTTGCTTTTCTGCTGCTTTAGTTCTTTATATATACTGGATATTAGCCCTCTGTCAGATAAAGGGTTGGTGAAGATTCTTTCCCAATCTGTAGGCTGTCTATTTGTTTTGATGACAGTGTCTTTTGCTTTACAGAAGCTTTTCAGTTTCATGAGGTCCCATTTATTGATTGTTGCTCTTAGAGCCTGTGCTGTTGGTGTTCTGTTCAGGAAGTTGTCTCCTGTGCCAATGAGTTCTAGGCTGTTTCCCACTTTTTTTTCCAGCTGATTTAGAGTATCTGGTTTTATGTTGAGGTCCTTGATCCACTTGGACTTCAGTTTTGTGCAGGGTGATAAATATGGATCTATTTTCATTTTTCTGCATGTAGACATCCAGTTGGTCCAGCACCATTTGTTGAAGATGCTGTCTTTTTTCCATTGAATGGATTTGGCTTCTTTGTCAAATATTGAGTAGGATAACAATAATTTTAAAAGTGTCCAAGTGGGTTACATAGTAATGGGAAGAGGGACTGACTCTGACATAATCTGATTGGCCTGCTCTTTGATCACCTCCCCCTGAGGGGGGAGCAGCCTTACCAGGCCACAGAAGATGACAATGCAGCCACTCCTGAAGTGATATGATAGACTAAGATCAGAAGGAAGGAGAAGAGGACCTCCCCTATCAGTGGACTTGGGGAGGAGTATGCGTGAAGAAGGGAGAGGGAGGGTGGGATTGGGAGGGAAGGAGGAAGGGACTTATTGGGGGATACAAAGTGAATAAAGTGTAATTAATAAAATAAAATAAAATTTTAAAAAAGAACATAAAAAAACAAGGAACAATGGAAAAGATTATTTCCAATACATATTACCAATGTAGGTTTATATTTAAATGGGCAAAATCATCAACAAATATTAATGACAAAATACAATCAGCAGATAACTATTATAAAAGTTAATAAACAAAGAAATGAGAATTAAATCCTCAATGAAATACACAGCATGGCAAATTTGAATAGTCAAAACGCTGAATATTGGGAAGGTTGTAAATCAGCATTTCCTATTGAACTTACCATTCGCTCAATCTGATGACTTCTTTCTATAAACTCTCTCGATGATCTAATTCCATAATTTTCTTTGTATTTGATGTTTGTGACTTGAAAAGAGGCAAGGTAATAGAATGACTTATCATCTGAAAGGCAAGATTGAAAGACCATGAGTGATGTGTTAGGTCCTTTGTTCCAACACTTGCTAAGTGTAGTTCTACCTAGAACAAAAATTACCATAAAACTAAAAGATGCATTTTATAATCCTATCAACGCACTCAGCCAAAACAGAAAATCCAGTTCCCAGGGAACGCTGGCTAATACTATTCTTGAAGATACATATGCTTATCAAACCTTTCCTACAGTTAGACATGTAATATATAATGAAAGGTCAAATGAAAGCATAGAAGTCATATGTTTTATTCCCTCAGAGAACTGCTAACATAGGTTACACGGGGTTTTGATGACATAATTGCCCAAGTTTTTTAAAAAATCTATCCTCTTCATAAATCCCACTACCACAAGCAATCTAGTTTATGCATGTGTCATTGAGAGGGAAATCTACAGCCTTTTTATCAATACCCCTATCTCTCCTCCCATTTTCCTAAAATACATTCTCTATACATCAGTCAGTTCTGCCTAGAGCTGGCTTTTTATTTTGAATAATTTATTAACTAATTAACTAATTCACTTTACATCCCTATCACAGCCCCCTCTCTCCTCTCCTCCCTGTCTTACCCTCCTTCTCTCTTCCCTCCCCCCTCCTCCCCTATTACTCAGATAAGGGGATTCCCCTGCTCACCTATCCACCCACCCACCCACCCTTCTCAGCTCATTAAGTCACATCAGGACAGAGCACACCCTCTTCCCCTCACCAGGGGGCAGCCTCACCAGGGGGAGTGATCAGAAGGCAGGCAACAGAGTCCATGTCAGAGACAGACCCTGGTCCTCTTACTAGGGAACCCATAAGAAGCCTGAGCTCCATTTGTGTAGAGGACCTAGATCTACTCTATGCATGGTCCTTGGTTGGGTGCTGTCTTTGAGAATACAAATTTGGCAATATTACTTGCCCACCTGAAGCTTTTCCATTTTCCTCATTACCACGGGAAGGAGTCCCAACTCTTTTACTTTTACACACCACATCCTTACTTGCTTGTAACTTGCCTTCTTTTCTTTATTTTAATTCTTCTCTCATATACTACTTCCTGATCTCAGTTTTTCTCTCCCTCTTCCTGTCCCAGTCCCTCCCACCCCAACCAAACAAAGCATATGAAGCTGTAATGGGTACCTCTCCCCATATTAAGTAAGGATGGCTGGCTGGAAAAAGACAACCCAGTAGAAGGAAAAGGGTCCCAAAAGCAGGTAAAAGACTCAGTGACAACCTTTATCTTCTTTTCTACATACTTAGAATTTGTATTGAAACAATGGTCTTTTCTACATTGAATTTTGCCTCTATTATTACTTCCTCTGGAAGTCTTTTAATAGGGTGTTATCATCCCATCTTTGACATTGCCTGGAAAAGTAAATTTTATTTGCTTCAGTTGTTGTCTCAGAGGCTTATTGCCGCTTTCTGCTAACCTAGGCCTAGTCCTAGAAGCTTCTAGCCTCTGTACAATCTAACCTAGGCCTAGAATGTTTTCAGCCTCTGAGACCTACTACTGAAAAAGCTCACCCTTACTCATTCTTACTGAGCTCTGGCTGGCTAGTTTAACTCACCTGTTCTGGCTCAAACTCCTCTCTCCAGCTGACTTATTCAATCTGTCTATTTTCTCAGCCTCTGAATTGCTCTGCTTGGCCTCAAAATAATTTATCAATATGATCTAATCTTCTGGCTCCTTGTCATTCTCTGGCTTGTTCTGTCTTCACCTGAGTTCTCTCTCTGCAACCAGTCTCTCTATTACTCTCCCAGTAAAACTGCCTCCTCTTTCTCATGACCCCTTTAAGTAGCTTCCTTTTCCTCTTACTTCTCATGAGAATTTGGCATATACTATTCTGTCAAGTCTTTCTTGATTTGTCACTGTTTCTGCCACTCAACGAGACATCACTTTCAAACATGGGTGTTTACTTCTACAAACTAACTTTACCTTCATTGTTTGGGGTTAAAGACATGTACCACCACACCTGGACCTAAACTTTTCTTTACCTGATACTTGCTGTATAGCAGGCTGGCCTTGAGCTCAGAGATCTGCATACCTCTAGCTCCTGGAATTAAAGGTGTGTTTGTATTCCAGCTGGATCACACAGACCTAGAAAATATTTGGATGTGATCTCTTGCCAGAACAGCCATGTTCTGAATTAAAGTTCCTCTATAATTGCCTATGGCTATAATTGCCTATTTTCAAGATGACATTTGGAGCATTCACACTGAGCCATCCACTACTGCACAACTGTACTCCACTTTGAAGAGCTTCTGTTATGCTATCATAAAGATTTTTACATTTTTTGAGGCAGTCCCTCTACTTAGCGCTGGCTGTCCTGGAAGTTACTATGTAGACAAGGGGTCTCAAGTACATAGAGATCCACCTGCCTCTGCCTCCCAAGTTCTGGGATTAAAGGTGTGCACCAGCAGGAATTTGAGCCCAGGGGTCTTTTCTGAGACTTGACACTCCAACCAAGAACGATGCATGAAGATAACCTAGAACCCCTGCACATATGTAGCTCATAGCAGCTCAGTAATCAAGTGGGTTCCCTAGTAAGGAGAAGAAGGAACTGTCTCTGACATGAACTCAGTGGCTGACACTTTGACCACCCTGCTGATGGGGGATCAGCCTTGCCAGGCCACAGAGGAGGACAATGCAGCCAGTCCTGAAGAGACCTGATAAGTTAGGGTCAGATGGAAGGGGAAGGAGGACCTCCCCTATCAGTGGACTAGGAGAGGGGCATAGGAGAAGTTGAGGGAGGGAGGGTAGGATTGGGAGGGATTGGGAGAGGAGTCTACAGCTGGGATACAAAGTGAATAAACTGTAATTAATATAAAATAAAAATTTAAATTAAAAAATATAAAAAATAAAAGAAACTGTCAAATTGGAAAAAAAAAAGAAAAAAGGGTAGGCACCATGCCTGGGTAGCACTTTGTTTTTCAAAATTACAGTTTAGTTAATCAAAATTAAAAGTTGAAAAAATGCATCAACAAAGACTTTTTACCTAAATAATCTATGTTCCACTTTGATTGCACTTCTGGTTTTACTTTTAAGATCATGAGACCATGACCTAATTCTCATTCACGAAGCAGCCCATGGGTTCATGTCAGAGATGATCCCTGTTCCTATTATTGGGGAACCCTCTTGGACAATGAGCTGCCATGGGCTACTTCTGTGCAGGGTTTCTAGGTTATCTCCATGGATGGTCCTTGTTTGAAGTATCAGTTTCACAAAAGACCCCTGAGCCCAGTTTTTTGGTTCTGTTACTCTCCTGTCCTCTCCAAGTCTTTCTATCTCCCCTTTCTTTCTAAGATTCCCTGAACTCTGCCCAAAGTTTGGCTATGAGTCTCAGTATCTGCTTTATATTAGAATCTCAAAAAAATTAAAAGAAGTGATTTTAAAAATAACATATCTATGGTCCTTGGTGGAGTATCAGTCGCAGGAAAGACCCATGTGCTCAGATATTTTGGTTCTGTTGCTCTCCTTGTAGAGTTCCTGTCCTCTCCAGATCTTACTGTTTCTCACATCTTTCATAAGATTTCCTGCACTCTGCCCAAAGGTTGCCCATAAGTCCCAGCATCTGCATTGATAGTCTGCAGGGCAGAGCCTTTCAGAGGTCCTCTGTGTCAGGCTCCTCACTTGTTCCCTCTTTCCTCCTTCTGATGTCCATCCTCTTTGCCTTTCTGGATAGGGACTGAGCATTTTAGCAAGAGTCCTCCCTCTTGATTAGTTTCTTTAAGTGTACAGATTTTAGTAGGTTTATCCTGTATTATATGTTTATATGAGTGAGTCTTTCTGCTTCTGAGATAGCTCACTCAGGATGATCTTTTCCAGATCCCACCATTTACCTGCAAATTTCATGATTTCCTTTTTTTATATTGCTGAGTAATATTCATTGTGTAGATGTACCACAATTTCTGTATCTATTCCTCCATGAGGGGCATCTGGGCTGTTTCCAGCTTCTGGCTATTACAAATAAGGCTGCTACAAACATGGTTGAACAAATGTCCTTATTGTGTACTTGAGCCCCTTTTGGGTATATGCCTAGGAGTGATATAGCTGGATCTTGAGGAAGCACTATTCCTAGTTGTATGAGGAAGCACCAGATTGTTTTCCAGAGTGGTTGTACAAGTTTACATTCCCACCAGCAGTGGAGGAGAGTTCCCCTTTCTCTACAACTTCTCCAGCATGTGTTGTCACTTGAGTTTTTGATCTTAGCCATTCTGACGGGTGTAAGGAGATAGCCTAAGACCCCTGCACAGATGTAGCCCATGACAGTTCAGTCTCTAAGTGGGCTCCATTGTAATAGGAACAGGGACTGTCTCTGACATGAACTGATTGTCCTGTTCTTTACCTCCCTCTGAGGGGGAAGCAGCATTACCAGGCCACAGAAGAAGACAAGGCAAACACTCCTGATGAGACCTAATTGACTAGGATCAGAAGGAAGGAAAAGCAGACCTCCCCTATCAGTGGACTTGGGGAGGGGCATGCATGCAGAGGGTGGAGGAAGGGAGGGATTGGGCGGGGAGGAGGGAGGGAACCACAGGTGGGATACAAAGTAAATAAAGTGCAATTAATACAGAATTAAAAAGAGAATAAAATATAATGATAAAATATCACATATTATCTTTTTAAAAACAGTTAAACAAAATGTTATTTAATTCATATAAAATACTGCTTTATAAGTATATTGATAATTCTCAAAATTATTTCTTTAAACCAAAGATTTTAAATTAGTCACAGAGTAAACTTTCGTTGGGAGTATTATCAAATATTTGCTGCAATTGGGAACTGTTAACAATGAATGATTTATTTTTCAACACGTTTTTGTGTAAATGAGCACTGAAATTATGTTTCACAATGTGATATTAAGATTTGCAAGTAGTGAACTATATATAACACGATACTTGATTATATCATACTTACATATTAGCTGTATGGAATATGTATAACTGAATAATTAATGCAAAGTTTCCAGTTTTCACTGACTGTAGCAACAGCAGTGGATCTATGCTTCTTCCTCATTCATACTGATTTTCTCTAGAGATGTTGACAAGCCGTTGCTTGCTCAGAAATGAGTAATATCAAAAATAAAATATAACGAATAGAATGGAACAAATTGAATTTCTATTCAAATTATTTTTAAAAGCTTTAAAAAAATAACATATCTAAAGTCCATGGTTATGAACTATGAGGGTGATGATTCATATTATTATTTTGTAATGTTGCTAATGGGAATAATTCATACCATACATAGCATCTGGAATCTGCAAAATGATGATCCAAAAACAGCTTTCTCTGACTCTTTATATTTTTTAAGCTATGTACTGTAATTAAACCATGTACAAAGCAAAATTATGTTTTATATTATTTTCTCCTTCCTTTTCCTTCAAACCTCACATGTATACTGCTTGCTCTCTTTCTAAACCATGGCTGTGTGTGCGTGTACACACACACACACACACACACACACACACACACACACGTGCATGCACACATTTATAAATGCATAAATACAATCTGCACAGTCCATATGTGACTTGTATGCATGTTTTTAAGCCTGACATTTGTTATTTAATAACCAATTGGTGTGTTCCTCTCTTGGGAGACTATTTCTTCTACACCCATCATTCTTAAATTTTCTGTAATTCTTTGTTTAGTGTTGCCATTTGGGCACAATCATCCTTTGGAATGTTGTAGAAGTAAAGATGATTGTAATAGACACTTAAATCCTCAAAAAAAAACAATAATTACACAATAATTATAACAGTCACTGCATTATAATACAGTGATGCTGAGCCCTTTTTTTTATCTATTCTGCTAATTTCTGCAATGAGGAAGTTGTACATTAAAAGGACTTTTTAGAGTTCTGTTAAAGAGAAACTAATATCCCAAATTACTCAAGCCTGGTGGACCTGAGATTAAAACCAGGGCATATCTGTCTCTATATCGCCTCAGAATACAACTCCTATATCCCTGGAAATAGAGTTAGTCCTGCATAGTGAGAAAGCAAGTGGGCTATCCCAAAACAGATGAACTCTCCATAGCTTTATAAAACAAGTTTTGAAATAGTTTCTAAAATTAAGTTTATGAATTTTGTGAAAATGCATTTTTACAAACTACAATCCTTAAGTTTTTATGTGGTACATAAAAACTTGTTTTACCACATAAGAGATAAAACAATACAAAATTATCCTAAAATTTTAACTATATAAATGTTTGACAAACATCTATTACATAATCGCAATAAGTAAAATAAACAATTAAAAAGTCCACTCCCACTCCCCAAAAGAGAGCACACAATTTCCAAACTTGATGTTTGAAATTTCTGTTCACTCTGGAAACCATATGATATGGTTGTGACTAAATATTCTATGAACTTTTTCACTAGCATAAAGCTTTTCTAGTATGCAGCTGGTAATGGACATTTATTTATGAAGCATTCAAAAAATGGAACGGGGGAGAAGAAAGGAAGAAGACAAATTATTCGATAAGAAAATGAGATAAAAATTTCAACCACAATAATAGGAAATACAAACGCCCTGCTGATGCATGGATAGGTCCTCAACACTTCCCAACATCATTGCTGATCAGGGAAACGCGATAGAAATTCAAATTGTGATGCTAATGCTACCTTTAGCCAAACTAGCAATTATATAAAAGGCATGGAAATACTAATGCTGATGATGATTCATGACAGTGATAATTGGCATGTCATAATAAAAAGATAAGCAGTTAATTTAAAAGGAAGAGGAGGAAGAGGAGGAAGCAGCCACCCCAGGGTTAATACAGGTAGAGAATTTTTGACGTTTTTTACATCTTCATGTTTCCTATGCAACCTCTTGTACATGTTCACCTGTGTACCAAGACATATGCATAAACATATAGTGGTTGGGGTCTTATAACATGAACAACTTTCAGTAAGCCTCATGCTCATGAATATATGAAAACGCTTGGGGTGAATATAAGAAAGTGCAAATTTATTCTTAGATAGTTCGGGAGGTCTCATGTCAGTTGGTAGGTTTCAATTTTCCGTGGAGGAGAGTCTGGTCGTTCTGGGAAAAATCTGTGTTTGGTCATTTCCTAGAGTGACCTCATCCTTTGGCTCCTGGTTCCACAGCATATGACACTTTCTCTCCTTCTATTTCAGTGCATTCCCTCACTCAACCTGCTTTCTTAGAGGCATCCATGAAGTTGTATTTGGGAGCCATACAGAGAATCTGTAATAGTATCCCCATCTCAGCGTTATTAATGATGGCTGGCACATCTCTTCTGTGGGGAACATTCACAAATTTGGAAGATTCAGATGTGGGCCTCTTTGTATGCATGTCTAGCACAACCATTATGACAGTGTGTTTAAAATACTTCTAGACATTTTTTAAAATTATCCCTTCACTGTTTCTTTCCTGAACACCTACAGCCTTGCAGCGAGTTGGTTCTATTGTTTTTTACTTGCTGTTTTTAAGACATAGTCTCATTCTGCAGCACACACTGACAAAAATTTACAGTGTGTTCCAGGTTGGCCCTGTAAACCCTCTGATTCAGCCTCATTTCAGTTTTGAAATGACAGGCATAAGTAAGGTATTATAATCATATGCCTATTTTAATAACTTTTAGTCCACAATGTCAACAACGAAGATAAAATTATGGGAGGCAACTTGATGTGGGTTTGGCAAAATATAAATATTGCTTATGAGCTAAATAAAATAGAAAAGTAAACTGGAAATTTAAAAATTTTTTCTTTATAGATTGTTTAGTTGTGCTGTTATTGTTACAACCGGTGAGAGTCTTTAAAACTTTAAAATTTCAGTCATTTATGTTTACAACTATGCAAGTACAAAAGTAAATGAATCTTAGCTGTGTCTTTCTGCTCATCTGTGACACCATTTTTGCAAACAGATAGAAATCAGTTCTGAGTTTTCCATTCTTCCCAGTCATGGAACAATTTGACTTTCCTTCAGAAAGCTTTGGCTTTTTAAAGGTGTTTTAGAGAAGGTTTTACCCTTTTCTGCCTCCCTTTCCCATTTTCCTCTTCCCTTCCCTTCCTCTTTCCCTCTCTCTCTCTCTCTCTCTCTCTCTCTCTCTCCTTTATTTCTTTGTGGCATTAAGGATTTGAATCCACATCCTAACACCTGCTAGGCAATTGCTGAATGGAATAATATCCTCAGTGTTTTTACTTCTTAAATTTTGAGACAGGGTATATATTTGACCCAGCTGACCTCATCCCAGGGTCTCCTGAATATCTGGGATAGGATACAAGCTAGCTCTCCCTAGTCATCTTTGTCATGTTGTCACAAGTTCTCTAGGGGTGGCTCATTAACACCTTGATTCTCAGAAAGGCAAGGAAATGTATAGCTTGATGTTATTTGTCTTCATTCTGAAGAAACTTCATTCCCTTCTTATTTTCCCTCTTCTTTGCCTACCACACATATGGTATCTACTTAAATTTTTAATATTTAGAAATGTGTAATGCAGGGTTTCTGTTCTGAGCTCACTATACTTTTACATCAATAAAATATTGTATTTACCACTTAGTGTCATCAAAATGTCAAAGTTCATGCAAAAGAGTGTATTCATACAATAGGAACATGACACGGATACTTACCTTCAACAACGAAATGAGTGACAATACCGATTGTGATCCCTATGATTGCTACAATTGCTAAAGTGAAGAGAGATAGTCGTACAGAGTCCCAAAACTGTTGTTGCTTTCTTTGATATTCGATTCGTGGGTATTCAGTCTCTGAGAATTCAACTGGTCTGTGATAACAGAATAAAAAATAACAGCCGTTCAGTAGACTTCATGATGGCTCTCTCATGTGCATTTCTTATGTTGGTTCATTTGGCAAGTAATTTGTATTACTAAGTAACACTGTATTACCAAAATCTCAGTAAGAGCAGTGAATAACATGCATCTTCCCACACCCAAACCGCAAACATAGTACACCTTTTAGTTAACTTCTATCAACATGGTGAGTTCTTTGCGTTGCTGTCTGTGTGGCATACGGGCAATTGAAAAGTTTGGTTAGTGCAACATAAAGGCTAAATTAAAAAAAAATTATACTGTATAAATAATATTTTAAAAAGGGAGATTTTAAGCACAAGTTTGCAGTTTCATCAGCTGTAATTGGTTAAAAACAAAAGACTTAAAGATTGAAATAAATCTTAAGAAGTTCTTAAAGCTTTGTTTTTGAAGTAACTGTACAGGCTGGAGAGAAAGCTCACTGGATAAGAGCATTTGTTGCTCTTCCAGAGGGTGGAGATCTGGTTTCCAGACCCAACATCGGAAATCAATAACCATCTGTAACTCCTGTTCAAGGGTATCCAACTCCCTCTTCTGGCCTGTGAAGGTACTGTGTGCATGTGGTACACAGGAACACAAATAAGCAAAAGACCCATATGCATAAGTTTGCTGGTGGGAATGTGAACCTGTACAACCACTTTGGAAGTCAATCTGGCGATTTCTCAGACAATTGGGAATAGTGCTTCCTCAAGATCCAGCTATATCCCTCCTAGGCACTCCTAGCAGCTTTATATGTAACAGCCAGAAGATGGAAACAACCCAAATGTCTCTAGTTGAGGAATGGATACAGAAATTGTGGTGCATTTACACAATGGAATACTACTCAGCAAGTAAAAAAAAAAAAAAAAGGAAATCATGAAATTTGCAGGCAAGTGGTGGGATCTAGAAAAGATAATCCTGTGATGATGAGGTATCCCAGAAGCAGAAAGATACACATGGTATATACTCACTTATAAGTGGATATTAGACATATAATATAGGATAATCATACTAAAATCTGTACACCTAAAGAAGCTAAGCAAGAAGGAGGACCCTGGGTCAGATCCTCAATCCTCACTCCGAAAGACAAACGGGATGGACATTGGAAGAAGGAGAAACAGGAATCAGGTCAGGAGCCTACCACAGAGGGCCTCTGAAAGACTCTACCCAGCAGTGTATCAAAGCAGATGCTGAGACTCAAATCCAAACTTTGGTCAGAGTGCAGAGAATCTTATTAAAGAAGGCAGAGATAGAAAGACCTGGAGGGGACAGGAGCTCCACAAGGAGAGCAACAGAACCAAAAAACTCTGGTCACAGGAGTCTTTTGTGAGACTGATACTCCAAACAAGGACCGTGCATGGAGATAACCTAGAACCCCTGCACGGAAGTAGCCCATGGCAGCTCAGTGTCCAAGAGGGTCTCCCAGTAATAGTAACAGGAACTGTCTCTGCCATGAACCCAGTGGCTGGCTCTTTGATCACCTCCACCTGAGACAGGAGCAGTCTTACCAGTCCACATAGGAAGACAATGCAGCCAGTCCTGATGATACCTGATAGACTAGATGGAAAGGAAGTAGGATCTCCCCTATCATTGGACTGGGTAAGGGGCATAGGAGAAAAACAGGGAGGGAGGTTGGGATTCGGAGGGGATGGGGGAGAGGCTACAACTGGGAAACAAAGTGAATAAACTGTAATTTTTAAAAATAAATATATATATATATATATATATATATATATATATATACAAAATAGTTTTTAAAAAGTAACAGCAGCACCTACAGGTAATGACCATGGTTCTTCGAATTTCATTGATAATTCTAGCCAGAGCTCACTGCGTGTGAGCAGTATTTGATGGCACTCTAGTATTCAGGGCCCCTATGACTTTTCCCACTGACTTGTCTCAGCTTCCCTGATGCACTACTTATTCTAGGGACAGCACATCATTCGGAGCACTTCTTCCAACACAGACGTTGTTACTTGCTTAACATCTGAAACCTCAAACAGCACTCAGTGCCGTGGCTTTTGTATTTTTATGAAAACATTTAATTTTATTTGACAAATATGAACATGTTCACTAATATAAAAGGGATCCTTATGTTATTACCTATGACTTCACAAACCATTGTATTTCCCTAAAGGTTTAGACATGTACTCTGCCTTTGGGATACTAGTTTATGGTAGAGGAGAAAGACATGGAAACAGGTTGTTGCAGCTAAGTTATAAAAGGTTTATATAAGAAACAATGAACCACCAGGAACAGTGACACATACCTGTAATCCCAGCACTCAGGGAGGCATAGGCAGATGTATATCTGTGAGTTCAAGGCCAGCCTGGTCTACAAAGCGAGTCCAGGACAGCCAAGGCTACACAGGAAAACCCTGTCTCCAAAAACCCAAAGCCAAAACGCAGTTAACCTTTTTTGCAGGGGTGTGATGGGAGATTTTTATCAAGAAAGCTGCATTGTTTTTTGTGTTTCTTCATTTTCTTATTGGAACAGGCACTGACCACATCGCCTGACTGACAGGGAACTCGCTGGCTTCCAACCCACGGATATCCTCAAACCTACTGGTTGATCCCTGACTCTGCCTTGAGAGTTCTGGGATAAAAGGGATGTACCACTGTGACCAGGTTAGGCTACACTATTAAAACTTTGAGGAATGAAAGCTTACTAGATATTTTTTTTAAAGTAAGAGAAAGAAAAGAGAAAACATAATGTGAAAAGGAGAAACCAAAATGGTGAGATGTGAGGAAGTGCTCACTACTAATAATTAGTATCAGAAAGAAAAATACAAATAAAATTGGACTATTGCACTAAAAAAACGTATGCTCTGCAAAGTGTATGCAGACAGGAAGGCTTTCCCAATACTACAGTACTAAAAGAGGACACAGTAGAATAGGTTATTGTAAATGCATGTGTATGGGATGTTTATAATCCCAAGGAGAGTTAGAAATTTTCCTGCAGGAACTGGGCAGCCAAAATTTTAATTAGGTAGTGAATATAAGATAACTCACACAACTATGAATAGGAATGGGGATTAGGCAAAACATGGACAGGTATGTCAGGGTAGAGATCATGTTGAAGATCCAGAAGAGAGATAGCCAAGTGCCTGGACAGAGGGTGCAGCCTGGGATGGAAAGAAAAACAAAGCCAGCTCTAATCCTGATCCTTCCTGAGTGATTGATTGGATGTGGGAACAAAGAAATGATGAGCAGCTCACTTGTGTGGATGTTCAGGCGAATCATTGTGCCTCTAGGAAAGATGAGGACAATTAAAGAAAAAGAAAGTTCTTCCCACTAGGTATCAATAACGCTAATATTAGGCTGAGCCAGCTGGAAACAATGCCTTCCCTTATTTTTGTTGGATCGCCAGTGTCTGTTTACCTGAGCCCAATGAAAGCAACTCTTAAGGTTGAAGCTGCACAATGCAGAAGAAAAATACCTATGTTCCCATGAGCATTGCTTTCCTTCTGACCCAAAATAAACCTATTTCCAAAATACATGATAGTGAGTATTCTTGGTTATTTAGTGTATGTACCTGGCCACTCGTTGTCCCCTCTTCTTTATGCTTTCATGATTCCATACCTGTATTCTGACCCTTTCAAATATCATGAGTGAGAATCATTTTTTACCAAATTCAATGCGATGATAGCTGAGCATCACAAGGGGCACTTTTCTTCTTTTATCATAGCCATATTTAATTTTGAAATAAGTTTCTTCTATCTATGACTACTTGTTTTCAGTCTGATAGGACTCAAATAATTTCTGTCTCATGCATGCTGAAGTAAGTTTTACCTCATATGTCTGTGCTGTGATGTACAGGCTGCAGGAAGAGCGGGCAGATGCCACCCGATCACTTAAGAAGTGTTTGTCATCTTATGGGTTTGATATGTATTTCTTTCTCAAGTGGTCCATTTGTTGGAGACTTGGTTTCCAGACGGTGATATTGTTGAGAGATGAATGAGCCATGAGGATGCTAAGTGACCCATGGGCTAAACTATTAATGTCTTCCCGCTGCATAACTCATTAAGGGATGGGGCCTGGTCAGAGGACGTAAATCACTGGGGAGTGTTTACTTGAAGGGTCTGTTCTGTTTCCTGGAACCCAAGAGCTTAAAACATATGCTTTGCCATGCAGTTTAGCCACATTCTTTGCCATCACCACATTCCAAGAACAAAGGAGCAAGTCTACTAGAAACAGACACCTCTGAAACCATGACTCAATGCAAATGTTTCTTCTGTAAGTTGTTTATTCCAGGCATTTTGTCATATCAACAAGAACAACAACAACAACAACAAAAAAAAAAATCCTAGAACACTCCAAGTAGGAAAAAGATTCTTAAAAATCCAGCAAAGTATTGGGTTAGCTACTGTTAAATATTTGAGGTAATCATAATAGAAAAAACTGTGTTCAAAACAGTCGTAAGTATGCAATATACTTTGATAATTTGTCTATCTTAATTTATTTTAATTCATTGTTTGCTATTTTAATACAAGGCCTCATTGCATAGTTTTTAGTGTCCTAGAACTCACTATGTAGCCCAGACTAGGTTCTCCTGTTCTGGGCTCCTGAGTGCTACTCTTACAGGCAAGAGCTACCCTACTCTCTTCATCTGGGTAAGATATTTTCATTGGTTTATAGTCACTGTGGGTGGACATTAACTAGGCTGTTTTATCTCTTAGTTTTTATTTTTTTTCTGATCTTTTTGTGTTCTATATATTAATCCTCTGTCAGATGTGTAGTAAGAAAGTGTTATTTTTTTTTAGTCTGTATACCAATGTGTTATATGCATTTCATACATAAAATTCAAATTTTGATAAAGATCATTTTATTTAGATGCTATTTAATTCCTAGTGCTTTTAAATATTTCTATTAGTTCTTTTGACTTGAACACAAAATTCACACATATGAATTAGATGCTAAATAGAAACACTTTACCAGTTTTTATAGTAGTTTAAATTACCACTGTTTTAAGGAAAATT